CCTGAGTCCATCCAAACAGATTTTATTAGTTCTCCAAGGCAGACAGAGCCCTCAAGGTGCACCATCTCTGTTTCACAGCTTTTAAGGATGTTACAAATTACTGTGAGAGGTAATGCTGTCAGATGACCAAGTCTGCAGAGGGAAAAAGTACATCAGGGCAGGGTAACAGGCTTTAAACACAGCCAAGGAGCATTTTGCAGAAGCAAGAACTGGGAGGCAGATTTGGGGTGGACAAAATGCATCTTTTTTTGCTTTAACCAGTGCAGCTGACACACAACTGGATAATGCCCCCAGAAGGACTTAAATACAATATATACATAACACAAAGAAATTATGACTGAAAAAGTTACAGCTGCCTAAAAGTGTAAGCAAGTTATTTCTTCACAAGACTACAAGTAAAGAAGTGCTAAGAAAAAGCAGAAATATTTACATTTATATGAATTTCAGGGAGACCAGACAGCCTCTTTCCTACAGGGTGGCCAAAGAAAGAGAAAATTCCTATTATAGTATGAATCCTACTTGGTAGTTTTGTACAGACTTATTTTGTCCCTTTCTCACTCACCTACAACCTATAATTTCTGCCAAAGAGGCCTTTTCTTTACCTGAGGTTCCAGCTCCTGCTGCCCTTATTCCCTGTCTTTCTGGGGCACCCAAAAGGACACAACTTGCTCCAGGACTCCCCAGGCATGTCCCTAAACACAACCAAAGCTCAGTCAGCCTGGAGCTGCAGGGCTGGAGGACACCACCCTGCTTTTCATGGAACAAGAGCTGTAAGTGCATGAGCAGCAATGGTACCCAAGGCTAGAGGACAGATGCTCACAGAGATTTGGCTCTGAAGCATCTGACTGTATGACTGTAACTCCTAATGTGCTGTGAGGGGTTCAGGAAATCTTACATGTCATGCCTCTGTTGGTAAGTTTACAAGTTTAGCTTCAAAATCCAATGCCCTGCAGTGACATGCAATAAAGTGATCTGAAGGAATTGCAGTTTATTGAGCAACATTCTCATACTATTGTAAAAATCAGAGACATAACCGGAAGAAACACAGAAAAATATAAACCTGGATTCCACTTAGAGCGTTCCCCTGACTCGTTTTCAGAAGTCCCTTATAAATGATTAAAAGAAATAAAGTATGATGAATATTTTGTAAATCTTCAAGCCACTGCTTGAGCCTTAAGGAGCCAGATGTTTCTCCTGTAGAAACTGGTTTCTATAGCACGATATTCCAGTGCTATTAAGGAATACAAAGTGGGTGGGAGGAGCGGAAAGATAGCTTTGTTCAGCTCCTCAGTATTGCAGAGCCACCATCCTTCAGCTGCAGCTTGTACCTGCTCACCATTTCCCATCCTTTTACTTTCCCCCACTTCTTTGTGTGCAATCATATTCTCTGGGATCATCTGGGAAACCATTAGCCTTCCAAACCCCTGAATTGCAGGCTAAGTGGTGTGTTTCCCAGGTTGCTCTCTACTTACTGTCTTTCCCTAACCTCTGACTCAGATTTCAGACTGTCCTATTACACAGCGTAAGTACTGACAGCCAAAAGCTGGGGGAAGGACCAGGAATCTGCCATCATAATGAACAGGATACTGAAAAACTAGAAAGATTCCAGTCTCTAACTTGACAAAAGAATACTAAGAACCTACAGGCAACTGCCTAATAACTGCTTTTCTGATTTCAAGACATATATAGCATAATAACACTATTTAAGTATATGAGCATCAAAGGGTTAGTTCCAGCTTTCACTGGACTTTTTGCCATTTTTATGTCTCAGATTTTCTGAAGGCCATCACTCTGAGAGCTTCACAACAAATTAGGACCATCCAAGACTAATAACGCTACCATCATTTGAGAAGTCTTTACTTACAGAATCCTTTGAGGATTTCTTTTTAAACTTGGTTAAGACCAGCAAGAAGATGTGAACAGGAAGATCTAGAAAACCATTACTAAGCAGTGTATTACTGCATTCCTACTGAGAAGAACATCTGTCACCACAGATGAAAAGCTGTTGCATCAAATTGGATCAGTTCAAAAGTTTTTCTAGAATGCAGAACACAATACCAGGGTTTGCAAAAATGGTGCAGTTTCCTCTACACTGACAGAAAGGATTAGTGTATAATTTGAAATTATTATTGTTAGTGTATTATTTGAAATTTCTAGATTTCTTGAGAAGGCCACATTTTACCAGAAACAACACGATTGGATTTTTTCCTAATATCTACATCTGGTTAGAAAACTTTGTCTCTACAGACCTTCAGCCATCTCTAGGTTTCACCAATAGGATATTCCTGTGCAGGAAGTGTCAGGGTAAAAGTTATAGCCAACGACCCAGTTCTCACAGTACTGCAATGCTGTATACAGAGTAAAAACCATGTATGTGAAACACTCCTCAGTTTCTCCTAAAAGAAGAATGCAAAACAAACAAAAACCTCAAACAAACAAACAAAAAACCCCAAAACAAAATCAGGGGAAAACAACCAAACAAGTAAACCAAAAACAACCCCAAGATGACACCAAACAAACAAGCTAAGAGGTTTTATTCTCATCAGTTAATATGCCATCCAGGAGCAATGTAAGTCTCGATATGATGAAAGCCATAAAAGAGTCTGCAAGGAACATGGCAATTTTTTCCTGGTCTGTTTTCCACTGAAGCCAATAGAGCTGCAGCAGAAATAAACTGTGGGCACTGTGCAACAGTGGCAACACAAATAATAAAACTCCAGCTGTTCCTTTATTAGCATCATTTATTGTTGCAGACACTTCAGCAAGCAACAGGCTCACACCCTGCCCTTGCAAAATGTAATTTAAAGGGTTCAAAGAAAAGTGAACATCAAGAAGGTGTAGTAGGAAAACATTTCTTCCTTTTCCACCTTATAAGAGGTGAGGGCTTTCCTCGACCTACAAATGCATATAGGACTTTGTGCAGCTTCACTGTGTTCATCTCAAAACTGACCACAGGACTCCAACAGTGCTTGCAGACATCAAAAGCTGCAAAAATCACTGACATGGAAAGCAAGAAATAAAATTTGGACTCTAATCCACACAGACAGACAAGCCCACTCTTGCTCTATTTCTTCAGGGATTAACACATAACTATTGTGGGGATGTTACAGCCTGATTACCACATTGACTCTGCTGTTTGTAGTATATTGCTTACATATTTGATATTGTTTGGAAAATTAAAAAACTAAGGGGGGAAAATCCCAAAGCAACTGTCTTCTTTCCTTTTCCCCTCCCTGCTGCTCCTCACAGGGCATTTCAGTGCCGTGTTTCCAAGGAAACTGCACAGGGATGCTCTGCCAGTGGAGATGTTGTCAGAGGCTTGCCAGCACTCTAGGAACGGTTTAGAGTGATCCATAGGATGAACAAAGGAAGTAAAAGAGTAACAGCATAATTTAAGTGTGATACTGGAGAGAAAACAGGGAGCAGCAAGTCCCCTCCAAATATCCCTGACGGGGAAAGTCAGATTATGCTGCTGCTCTGAGTGTTGCACTTGTTATGCTGGCAGAATTTCAGAAGTGGTTTCAGACTGTTCTAAGCCACTTTCCAGCAAGAAAAAAAATAGGTCTGTACACTAGGAAATGCTTTTGAAACCCTAAACACAGTAAAAAAACTAAATTCAAAAAGTCAAAGCCAGAATCATTCCCTTTGCTCTTCAGTTGGGCACAGTAAATTCAGCATTTTATCACCATCCCAAAACATGCAGCTTTTTTTTCTTCCCTCTTTCCCACTGACAGCTCTGAGACATGTTTCATTAAAAGATAGTTACAGATGTTCTTTGATAAAACAGGTTTAGGTACAGCACTCTGCAACACCCAGCAATGACAGAGGTTAAGACTTTCACTACACAACTTC